GTATAAGAGACAGCCGTGGGGCCTCGGCGGGAGGATGGCGCCTGCTGGGGCGAGGTGGTCCTGCGCTTGTCTTCTGCCCCCCGTCAGGCGCAGGGCACCTGCAGCCTGGTCTGGGCCCACAGGTGTGGGAGGTGGCAGGAAAAAGAAGGCATCGGCCCCGGCGCTGGCAGTTCACCGCTCGCGGCGTGGGGTCTCCGTGGCGTGAGTCCGCGCCTGAGTCGAGTGGCTTCGGGGTCGTCTCCCCTGTCAGTGCGACTACGTCTCCGGGGGGGTCTCTCGGGAAGGCTTCCCACAGCCCCCTCCCTTAGATCCGTCTCGGCCGCCCCCAGCTCGGTCATTGTTCCCAAGAAGGGCCGTGGCTGAGCAGGTTGGCAGCCTCGCCTGAATGCGTGTGGCTGAAATACTGATGGTGCATGTGATTTAGGTACTGATTGATGGAAGAGTGGGGCGAAATTACCCTGGCTTCTCCTTTTGCCGCTGCTTGCTTCTGTTGCCCCCACCCCACTTTGCTTTCTGTTGCTTCCTTGGGGACCGTCGTTTTAGCTGCTCTGCTTTTACGCGTTTTAGCTGTGCGAGTTGTGCAAGCGAAGGCACAGTAAATGTTTTTGGCATAAAAATAATACGTATATATTAATTTTTTACAGTCATAATTGCCTGTTGTCAGTTAAATCACAATATTTGTATTCTTTATTTTCCCCTGTATTTTTCCTATCTTAATATTATGATTTTGGGATGTATGATAATGGTTTCTTATTTGTCCTTTGTTTTATAGTCTCACATAATGGCAGCAAAGGCTGTAGCAAGTACTCTGAGAACATCCCTTGGGCCCAATGGTAATAATGAAATAATTTTAATGGTTCTTTCTCAGTAATTGTTTCTCGGGATTTTCTAGATTTTTCCTTCATGCCTTGAATATGGTTTTTTAGGCTTGGATAAAATGATGGTGGACAAAGATGGTGAGGTGACTGTGACAAATGATGGTGCTACCATCCTGAATATGATGGATGTGGATCACCAGATAGCCAAGCTTATGGTGGAGCTGTCTAAATCTCAAGATGATGAGATTGGGGATGGGACTACTGGAGTAGTTGGTAAGAAAAGGTTTTAAATTTAACTTAGCTTTTCCAACATTAAAATCAAGTTTCTTGAGCTATTTTAAGAAATTTTGTGTGAAGTAACAGTAGTTTTGTTTTAAGCACATTTTTAGAGTATTTACTGCTTTGGTGTTCTTGTCAGTTCTTGTATTAGAAGCTTTTTAATTGGAAAGACACTTTTGTGTCTTTTCTAAGTATGGTTACATTTTAAGTTACTATTGAGACTTCTCTTTGTACTTTCAAAATTTTTCTGCATAATTTTCTTCCATTATCTTCGATCTGTCATGCCTTGATGTGCATGCTTCTTTTTAGTCTAACATAAGGTAGTTTTCTTTCTAAGCATATCAAGTAGGGGCTTATTTTCTCATTTAAGAAACCTTGAACTATTAAAATTTACAGAAAAAAAAATCAGAAGGTGTAGTTTTTAATCTTTTGAGAATGTATTAAAATGATGCATCAATCTGTGGAAAAGTCAACTTTCTTTTAAAATTTTGTTTTATAGTTTTGGCTGGAGCATTACTGGAACAAGCTGAGCAATTACTGGACCGTGGTATTCACCCTATCAGAATAGCAGACGGTTATGAGCAGGCAGCCCGCATTGCTATCGAGCATCTAGACAAAATCAGTGACAGCTTTCCAGTTGATCCACAGAACATTGAACCTCTGATCCAGACAGCAAAGACAACACTGGGCTCTAAAGTGTAAGTCACAATAACTTCGGAAGAGTATTTAAGTTTCCTTTAAAAACACTTCAGGTTGAAAGTGTTTTCATGGATTGTTAAATTGTTGCCTTCAGCAACCACTCCAAGATGTTTCATTGTGGCTAATTTCTCAATGGCCTCTATGTCTGGGGATGAGAAACTGAGTCCTTTTTCTGTAAAGGGACAATTCCATGAAGTTAAACAGCTGCAAAATCAATTTCAGTCTAATCTGTTAGTTTCAGATTTCTGCATCATGGCAAATTCCAAGAGTAATGCAAACCTTTTAAAAAGAACTGTGTTATATTTCAAAGGGGTTTTTTGAGGTTTGGGGTTTTTTTCCTAGAAAAATTTTTTGTAGCATAGTTCCATAAATGTATTTTTCATCATAGGTTCTATGTGTAATATATAAATTCAGACACTGTAAGGGCTTCCTTTGCAGAGCTGTTTTAACAGTGGTTTCTGTGTCTTTGAATATTTCTTAGTAGTTAATCCTCCTCACTTGTTTCTGTATCTTGAGACTACGTCCACAATGACTACTTAGGCAAACCATATTGTGTGTTCTGTTTTCTACCGTATTTATCATCTTCTATTTCTGTGAACAGACAGGCAGGACCCCCTTTAAAGATGTAGTGTACAAAAGTTGTTAGCTATAGTGATACTTTTTTTCCTGTTTGATAGAATTACTTTTTTCTTTCAAATTGTGGAAGTGTAATGCAACTTTATTGTCTTTTTAAAACCTAGAGTTAACCGCTGTCACAGACAAATGGCAGAAATTGCTGTAAATGCTGTACTGACAGTAGCAGATATGGAACGTAAAGATGTTGATTTTGAGCTGATCAAAGTACAAGGCAAAGTGGGAGGTAGACTGGAAGATACACAGTTGGTTAAAGGAGTGATTGTGGATAAAGATTTCAGTCATCCACAGATGCCTAAAGTAAGTGATGTCCCTGTGTGCGTATCTCATCAGTAATGGCTTAAATAAGATTCTCTAGCCCACTTCACATGCTGTCCTAGTATTTTCTTAAGTATTTAAACAGTGTTGTGGTTTGGCTTGTTTTTTGCGCATGTATCAACAGAAAAAGGGGGAGGAGCATTGAATTCATCATGTTGGAAGAGACCACCTTAGAACTTACAACAATCTTGAAGTTCAGAAATTATGGCGGGGGTAGGGATTACTGTACAACTAAGTGAGGACAGGTGCAGAGTTCTATGTTGAAGCAGAAATAATCATCCATAGTGTGTAATACACCTAAGTTGCTTGATGCAAATCAATATGAAGAAATGCTTTTTAAGCTTCATGAGTTACCATGTCCTGTTCAGAGCACTGCAGAAGCTGTCCTTTTATTTGGTGTAGATGAGGTCTCCAAGTCTTTGTACAGTGTACTTCAAGAAAGATGAAGATAGTGTAGGATTTCTACTATTCTAAAATATTTTTCTAGTAGGTGATACTGTTTATCCTATAAAAAGGAAGACTGATGGGAAATATCAGTCGTGATAAAAGGTGTCTATGAAGATGAGAATGTAGTATTCTCAATGGTAATGGTGGATAGAGCAGATAATAGTTTCATTGAAGTTGTTTTTTCTGTATGTTTAAACACTAAACTACAAAAAGACATCACAGTTAAAGATTGTTATGGGCTTAAACAGTGTCTTCAAGCTGTGGAATTTGTTTGAAGTTGGTTATAGAGATTTCTGATGGAATTATAGGGGTATAATTACATTCATTTTCAAATAAGTCAGATGATCTTCAAGTTTCTTCTTAGCCCTGTGTTTTTAAAGATATGTCTACATGTTTTGGAAATATAAGAGTGAGCTGTTACTGAGGTCAAAACTCAACTTTCTCTTTTTTTCAAAATTGTGCAGGAACTTAAAGATGCTAAAATTGCCATCCTTACTTGTCCGTTTGAACCACCTAAACCTAAAACCAAGCATAAGCTTGATGTCACATCTGTGGAAGATTACAAGGCACTGCAGAAATATGAAAAGGAGAAGTTTGAAGAGATGGTGAAACAGGTAGTCTTCAAGATTATTTCTTTTGTTTTTATGTTTTTCATAGCCTTTACACAAGATAGCATAGTGCATTGGTTTATTTCTGGAAATGAGCTAATAATCCTGGTAAGAGGCAACGTACAGGCAATTGTAAGGCTATGAATAAAGACAAGTTTATGTAAGAAAGATATCACCCTGGTTTGATGGTTATTTTGGTCTTTATGTATGCCAGATGGTTCTTTTTCAGACTTAGATTTTGAGAAAATTAGGAGAATTAAAATCATGAAGAGATTGTTTTTCATTCTTGTGTTCTGATCAGAAGATTAATGTTCTGTGTTGCTTTCAGATAAAAGACACCGGTGCAAACCTTGCTATTTGCCAGTGGGGTTTTGATGATGAGGCAAATCACTTGCTGCTCCAGAATGAGCTGCCTGCTGTTCGTTGGGTTGGTGGACCTGAAATAGAAGTAAGTAAAATCTTCTAAAATGGGGCTTTGTACCAAGTCTCAAACATTTAAGTAATACACTGTACCGATTAAAAGTTTAGGCTTTCTGGGTAGAATTCATAGTCACATATATGGGTATGTATTGGAGAAAAACTACTGGGGATCTGTGGGAAGACCCTACAGCAAATGGTCTTGTGGTTTATAGTTGGACTGGATGCATATTACTTGTTAACAGGTTTATGAGGCTAGGAATGTTTCTGCTTTCATCTCACTATTTGCAGAAACGAGGCATTGCCTGAAATAGTTTGAAGTGGTGGGAATTTAACCTCTTGGAGGAGCCATTTGACAGATTCTCTTCCACTTGGTCTAATGTTATGAAAAATGTAATAGAAAAGTCTTCTCAAAATAATTGATGGTTGTTTAACTTCAGTTGATTGCCATTGCAACTGGAGGACGCATCGTTCCTCGCTTCTGTGAACTCACAGCAGAGAAGCTGGGTTTTGCGGGTATTGTCCGAGAGATCTCCTTTGGAACAACGAAGGACAGAATGCTTGTCATTGAACAGTGTCAGAATTCCAGAGCTGTGACCATTTTCATTAGAGGAGGAAATAAAATGGTGAGGTGCTTAGTTTGTTACAAATGTTTGATATGTAAGTTACAGAATGTGA